GCCGGGCCTATACCTAACTTTTGAATACAATAACTTTTGATTAAATATTTTCCATCTAAAGGCATAAAAGAACTGCAAAGAAATATTAAACTGTACTTAATTTTGTTTGTAAGGGTATAGGTATAGCAATTCCAAAATTACAATATGGGCATTGTAAAATTAAGCAAATGAGTAAATATGCTGATGTCCTTACTTTGGGAGAAAAGAGAGAAACAAACACGGAAGGAGGGAAGACAAGCAAGAACTCTGGGATGTCACATTGGAATTGGAGGTATCCGTGTGAATTCATGCTGTGTATATTTACTCCTGAAAGGCCCTGCAATGATACAACTCTAGTAGCAAAAAGCACACCCAGATTTCTAAATACCATTCTGCTTCCAAAAAAAACATGGCTCCTTTCAGAAATGGTGGATTCTAGGATCGGGTTGCAGAAGTACAGATAAGTCTGGAACACATTGTTGCACTAGGAGTGAGCAAGCACTCAAGGAAATGGAGAATGCACATAAGTCATATTGTCGGGGTTCCCATTGGTTACATCTAGGATAGAAATGGATTATATAAGCTTATGAATTAAAAAGAGAGAACCCATTAGTCCATACTGATAATACATATTCATAAGTGGAGAAAGGAAAGCTCTTTCTTATAGTAAATGGCATCTACTAAACATGTTGGGAATGAGTTTTTTAAAAAATCATAATTTTTCAACCATCTTAGTAATTCAGACAAGAATCTTCAATGGCTACTAAAAACATTGGAAAGTTTGGTGGAGAATAGAATATCTACAGTATCAAAGTTCTCCCTATATATTACTTAACAATTACAAAGGGAAAAATGATAGCAGTGGAGAAACATGGTGGACACTGTCTAAATCAATTAATCAAAGCTAATTATCACCAATAAGAGGACAAAGGTACATTATGTGGACCCTGATAAGGTGCAGAGGACAAAACTCACTTCTGGGGTTTTCCTGTCAAAAGATGCATATGAGCAAAGACCCAAATTTTAAATATGAGGAAAAATTCAGACAAATCCACATCGAAGGACATTCTACAATCCTGAACTCCTCAAACATACCACTGGCATGAAGCACAATGAATAACGAACTCTTTCAGGTTAAAGGAAAACAAAAAGACAAAACAACTAAAATGCAATGCAGAATCTTGGATTAGATCACAGATCTGGAAAAGTAATGCTTGAAAGGATACTATTACTGGCCTCAGGTTATTAAGTATGAAATGTCCTATTTCTATTTCTTGTTTTATTTTTATTATGAAGCTACATCCTCATTCTTTCAAACACATAGTTTGGCTTGTGATTATCTTTCAAAATTGTTTTTAGAGCAATTTTTGTGAAACCACGGATAAGTAAAAATTC